AAGCTGCAAGTAACTCTTTCTGAAAACTTTGCTATGACCTCGGCGGCTGAGGGAGAGGGTGGTTCTCGGGTTTTGTAATCATGTGAAAGTAGCTCTTGCTGACTTTTCATTAAGGCTTTAAGAGTTCAGTGTTAAATTTTTAATAGCAGCTGTCTACTCTTTAAGAGTAATCTTGTTTTCGAGGTTCCTAAATGAAATTCTTCTCACCTCTTCCGTTTAAAAGTACATTAGAAAATTCCTTTATTTGTCTGCTGACATTTAAGAGTTTTTACATTTTTATTCTTGGAAAGGTATTGCAGGATGTTGTGCCAAAACAACTATTGCACCACTGGACCGAGTAAAGATTTTGCTGCAAGCTCATAACCACCATTACAAACATCTAGGTAAGATGGCTGTATAGATCGTTTTTGTTTTAAAGTGTAATCTTTATGATTTAGGAATGTTGATTTGTTCAGCTCTGTGACTGTATGAAGAAAGGTACTAAACAGAAGGCTGTTTCCAACTGGTCAGCCTGAGGGGCTCTGTGCCATGCTTTGTGAGTGTCAAAATAAAAGAGAAAAACACCTTACATAAAATATATCGAGCCTGCACCTGTAAGTTCCTGCATGGATGTGTTAGAAACTGAGATGTCAGAATAATCCTTAGTAAGGCATAGAAGCTGGGGCTTGATCCTCCTCTTACTGAAGTCAGCAGGAGCTCGATAATCACAGGTTCGAGGCTTGGGTCGTTTATATAAAAACTGTCACTGCTGGTAACTCTGTTACTGTCCTTACTGCTATGCTAATGCCAGTTTCCAGGAGTTGTGGAAATTGGTACTTTTCAGAGTTGGTAGTTCTCAGAGGGGCTGGTGATCACCAGACCAGTGACAGTTGAATCCTGGATGTCTCATGTGCACTTACGCTCGCAGCAGTGTGATTGATAGGCATGGACAATAAAAGTGAATTTGTGCTTAATATAAAGTGCAGGTGAGCTATGTTTGGCCTCGGTATTGATTGCATCATGGTGAGAAAATACCAGTGTATTCCCAACCATTTCCTGTGTGGCTGTAATAGCGCCCTCTTGTGCATAATATTTGAAATGCTTTATATCACATGCTTTTAAAATATGTTACAATTTATGTTCAGAAATTCAAGTGTATTACAATTCTCAAAAAATAATAATTTTGAGTTGGTTATCTTTAAGAGACTTTAATTTGGAAATCTGAGATTTTTAACTTAGAAATCGAAGATCATTTATAAAAGGATTTAGGATGTAGAAATAAATCTTAAAACTATACGTCCCGTGGATTTTTTCACTTCACTGTACCAACAAGAGAAACACAAAACACTTGACAGCTCAGTACCACAGTCAAATAAGGTTGTGTTCAAATCTGCAGTCTAACAATTGGAGGCTGAAGTAATGGATTTGACTAATATTTTAAATCCCTATCTTTTGTTCGCTTTGTATCGTGCCATAATTGGCAAATAAAGTATTATGTTCTTTCCTGTTCAGGGTGTGAGATATGATTCTGATTATGAGAAACCATCCTGACTTGAATGCATCTTCCTGTTAGATGTAGGCAAAAAGGAAGATTTTATAGGTGGGATACCTGTAAGCGCAGAGATGCGATGTTTTAGTTCATTAGAGTCCTCGCAGAGTATTTTTACTGCCCTTGCCCTGTGGAGTTCATGAGACATGGATCTCAGAGCATGTGTTTTAAGAAATCAAAACAACTACTCATCATTTTAGGGGCAGAGAGAAGAACTTCTAATTATGGCATGAGTATTTTCAAGGGTATATAATAAGCATGACATTTTAAAATAGATTAAAATAGATTTAATATTGTATTCTTACGGCTCCAGAAACTAGTATTTGTTTAATTTAATCTCTAAATGGACATTTGTCAAGTATACTATCTCTAGTTAAGCATGTAGCAATGATAGATTGTTTTGTTGTGATTCTAAATTTAAAAACAATTTTTGAAGTGACTGGAATACAAATCAATGAGTTCCCTTCCTTCTTTTGCTAATCTTAACTTTCTGTGGGTGGATAGTATCATCTGCAATAGGTCTCCTTACAGTCCAGGCAAATCATGGGGCCTGAAATACATGAATTCATAAGGAGCTTCACAGAATCTGGAAGGTGAGGAAGCTGGTAAAACTTAACCTTAACTCTCCTCCTCTTGTCAATGTTTGGGCCTTGAAAGCAGATTTGCCCCCCCCGTAGTTACATGAGCAGTGTGGTCAGGCCTTAATTTTTTGCATGCTTTCTTATTGTCAGTAATACTTGCTTGATTTTTACTGCAACTGTTAAATGTCTCTTTTTATACTGCTGACAGGAGTGTTTTCTACGTTGCGTGCTGTCCCAAAAAAGGAGGGTTATCTTGGGCTGTATAAAGGAAACGGGGCAATGATGATTAGAATCTTTCCATATGGTGCAATTCAGTTTATGGCATTTGACCAGTATAAAAAGGTAGGATAACTTATTTTGTTCTTTTCTTTTTTTCTGCCTACAATGAATGCAGGTTCTTTAAATTACCAAAACAAACGCCGAAACTTTTGTGCCCTATTGGCTGCATGTCTTCTCTCAGATTGGTTAATTATACCTGAATCTGCCTATTAAAAACATCAGGGCAACTGTGAAACTCATTGCAGCGCTGCTTAAAGAAAAGTCGTCTCACCAATTTTAGTGCCTTTGTATTGCTGTGAATATTTACTTTTTTGTTGTTTTTTTAAACAGAGTAACCTGGAGTCGGCTGCTAGTCGTTTTGCTAAAGAGGGAGCCCTTTGTCTGTAAATAAAGTAGGAATAAAATGTAAACTGTAACCTATTTACTGTATTGGGACTCTTATTACTTGATAGCTGGAATGATTGACTTAAACTTGAAAGTCTGGATTTATGACCGCCATATTTGACATATCAAATGACTATGTCACCTTGTAAATAAAAATAGCGCGCAGGAGAAAATGCATATTTCAGGGTCTCACAGGTTCTGTGGATTCCTTTGTACTCTCGTGCATTTACTCTTTCATAATAAATTCAAAATAAATCTCTGCAGCATCTTTTGGAGGTTAGGTGTTAGCATGATCATATTTTTAAGCATTGCTTATACACAATCAAAAATACAGTCTTACTGTTAGTCATGAGGAATTTCTTGTCTGAAAGGTCAGACTTAGTTCCCATTGAAGTAAATTGCATGATCTTTACTGAAGACAGTGGCACTCAAATTGCAATCCTTTTCTAGAAGAGCAAGTTTCAAAAGATAAATACAAAGAAGCAGCTGTAATGAGTTTCATGTGTTTTTTTTAGTGGTGCAATCATAAATGCCGTTGACATTATGCTTGTTTTATGTTGTGTCAAGTAAAAGAGTGCATGCCGTGCTTTATAATATATCGATTTATGAATCCACAGATCACAAATTTCAAGCAACCATTTAGTATTGCAACTGTTTCTTTAATGTTTGTTGTCAGTTATAAGAAAAAAGATGCTTTGTAGGAATGTGTAAAAGAAAAAAACCCAATTCTTATAGAAGGAAGAAAAGAAATCATAAGAGAAATATTTTTCTTAAAATATCTGTTATTTGCTATAAGCCAGGAACTTCTAATTCCTTCCAGGACTCAGATTAAAGTAATTTAGGAAGCTTATTCTAGCAAATATGTGTCTGGTCGGGGTGCGTGTGTGTCTGTCTATCTGTCTCTCTTTCTCTCTCTCTCTCTTTTTTTTTTTTTTTTTTAATCTGGCTAAGCATATGGTCTTAAAGATATCTTTATAGGAATGTTTCAAATGGTATGTGTGGGAAAACAATTTCCTCTTCTCAGTTTCCAACATGTCTCTTCTCAACTTTGCTCAGCGTCCTTTGCTCTATCACGCAGCAAGGATAATATTCGGATTGCCTTGTTTGACGCACATTAAAGATAACTAAATAAATAATTAATCTGGCTTCTTAAGTAAATAGTACTAATACTTTCAACTAGTCATTCTGTTTTATTAGTAGCAATTTTAGTACTTTAGTGTTGTTGATTAGAAATTGTTGATAACAGAAATTTTCAGGAAACTCTTTCAATGGTAATTAAGTGCTCTGGTTTGAATTTGTAGTGTTGCATACTTCTTAGAAACAGCCAAAGGGTATGCATGAATATGCTAGTAAACTGTCTTTTTTTTTTTTTTTTTTAATCTGGCTAAGCATATGGTCTTAAAGATATCTTTATAGGAATGTTTCAAATGGTATGTGTGGGAAAACAATTTCCTCTTCTCAGTTTCCAACATGTCTCTTCTCAACTTTGCTCAGCGTCCTTTGCTCTATCACGCAGCAAGGATAATATTCGGATTGCCTTGTTTGACGCACATTAAAGATAACTAAATAAATAATTAATCTGGCTTCTTAAGTAAATAGTACTAATACTTTCAACTAGTCATTCTGTTTTATTAGTAGCAATTTTAGTACTTTAGTGTTGTTGATTAGAAATTGTTGATAACAGAAATTTTCAGGAAACTCTTTCAATGGTAATTAAGTGCTCTGGTTTGAATTTGTAGTGTTGCATACTTCTTAGAAACAGCCAAAGGGTATGCATGAATATGCTAGTAAACTGTGAGGTGCTTCCCTGTATTTTCTGATATATGACTATTGTAAATACAATAAATTGTATTGTTTGATATTTTGTAGGTAATAAAGAAGCAACTTGGGATTTCAGGGCATGTGCATCAATTAATGGCTGGATCTATGGCAGGTATAGTTTTGTACTTGCGTTTCAGACATCCTTTTTGCTGAAAAGCTAATGTGTGTTTAGAAGATGATTTAATGTGTTTTCAGGTCAAGCTGTGCTGTAAATTTGTATTAAGAAAAAAGGCTAATAAATGTTTTAATATGATGAATAGTTGCTTAATTTAAAACAGTTTGTCTAAAAGTATTCTTTAAAGCATGTTCAATTCAAACATTGAGTTCTGTGCTATGTTGTCAAGCATAGTTATTACGGTGTTTATTATGATTAAAAAGAGAAAAATCCAGTGTCATTGAGATAAAACATAAAGATGCAAGTTTTAGCAGAATTGGCTCATCAGCCTGTCTGCCATTGCGACCAGGTTGAATATAAGCCCAGAGAAACAGAACTGTAGCTGCTTAAATGGGTGGATTCTTTGGAGTTCCCTGAAATGTCTAGACTTAAAACGTACAGTGTAGGATTGTCAGGATACACTTTAAGGCATGCATGTGAACTTTTAAAAACGTCATGTGTCAATTAGGGAAATATAGGTAGAATAAACTACTTTTAAACTGTCAGCATAAAATATGATTATATATATCTATTTTCCTCTTGCCAGTCACTCGGCCCAAAAGTAGCCAAGGAAAATTAGGGCAAGGTAAGTAATAGTGGACTGAGTTTCAATCGGAGGTTCTTCATGTGTTTTTTACTGTTTAAAATAGGCTTAATATTGTCTGTTGGTAGTCCTTATATAGTTATGAAATGAGTATTAATATGTAGCCTCTTTTGAAATAAAAATAAAGCGGATTATTAACACTATCTTTAGTTAAACTAGAAGGACCTTGTAGAAGTATGAAAAGAAACTATTAAAAATCCTTAAAAAATAGTAAACTCATTTGGAGAGATATGTTCCAGAAGTTGGCTGGCTTTGTCTAAAAGAAGTGGAAAAAATGCATATATATATTTTTTGTTCACCTTTAAGTCCACTAAAGAATGCATTTTATTTTTTCCAAAAACTGCTTATTATTTTTTTCAGGAGCCTTCTCAGAGAGCAGGAACCACAGATGTGAGGCATTTTATAAAAAGGAAATATCAGTTTAACTCCACCAGTGTTGGACATGGTGGAATTCTTTGTGTAGCTAAACTAGTAGCATCTGTCATCATTTTTAAGTACCTTACTGGTTAAGTTTTCTGCATGGTTATAGTAACAGAAATAAATGTAACACACAGGTACTATCTGGAAAGTACAGTCAACTGCAATGCTCAATGTGGTGCATTTAAGTACAATACAAAGGAAGTTTTTGTAATGGAGAACCTCAAAACTGAGCTAGACCTAAGTGTGCAGTGAAAAGAGCAGTCACAGAAGTGTAGTAATAGTGTGACGTTTTGGAATCTTATTTGTTTACTATGTGATGTTAACTGCTTTTTTAGGTTCTTAATTAGCTAAATCATGAGGGGGGAAGGTTTGTGTTGAGGGTAGTAAGAGGAAGGAGGCACCAAGGAGAACACAGAGTTTGGAATATGATACAGAGGTTCTCTTGAATTGCAAACATGAGAAAAGACCCTTAGAGCAACTGGTAATGTTCCTAGCTATGACTCCTCTGGCTTAGTCTCTTTTTCGCTCCGCTAAGGGGTATTCTTTTGCTTCTTCCACACTTAGATAGCTGCAGGAGAAACGCACCCTTGGTCGAGAGGGGTCTTCACAGTTTCTGGGAACCCAGTGTTATGCTGATGAAAATGGGTAGCCCTTGTTTCCTTTTCCCCTTTCTGCCACCCAGCCATCTGCGTTCACTTCAGTGTATACTGTTGATACTTAAATCCTGCTTATGCCAGAGTTTCCAACATTGCTAACAGACCTGAATCGGCTTCAAAATGGTGGGAAACTTTTGAATCTCTTCTGCAACAGATAAATGGGATCAAAGGCATATCCACAGTGAAGAGAAAAGCAGTGAGGATGGGGGCAGTGGAGTGAGAAAAAAGAAAAACCCATTGTAATGCATGTGTTTAAGGAGGCCAAGTTAAAGTTACTGTGGAAACTTTAACTCTGAATTTCCTGAGCCTTGTGTGATTCAAATTTCAGTTGTAACACCTCATTAACAGATAAGTGGCTTATAACGTCCTTTAAGGAAAGACAGCTGGGGGAGAGGACAAATCATAGATGTTAGTGTGGTTTAGGAAACAACTGGTATGTATTCCTCCTCACAGAACAATTTTGAAAATATAAGCCTGTTTGAGTTTTCTTACTGAAAAAAAAATCTGAATTAAAACACAGAAACGTATATTTTCTTACCTGCTCTTGATTAACTCAAAAACAGCCTCAAAAGAGCAGAAACTTTCAGAATAAATTCAGGTTCTGTGAAACAAGTACAGAAGGTGCTTTTTTTTAACTAGAAGCAATTGGAAAATAGTATGGATTTAGGAGGATACTACCATCTCAATTTTAACTAAGACATAATTAACACTTATCTAATTGAATAAATGTATATTATAAAAGAATCTGTGCTGTTTATTTCTTTAGGTGCAATTCAGAAAGCAATACAATTGTATTTTCCAGGTTGAGCGATATTAAGACCTGTAAACTTTCCAGTTCTTTAGCCTGCCTATTTTTTCATCATCATTTATTTGTATGTATAGTTTATGAAGTTTTGGTTTTTTTTTCAGCAGATACCTTCTTGATAAATTCATCTATTTTGTTATATTAGTGAAGGATCACACCTCCTGCAGTTAAAGGCTGCAGCCTGTGCTCATCGTTTTTTGGAACGCTGTACCTCTGAATCACCTGGTAGTTCTGATTTGATGTAGGTCAGTTGTGGACAAATTGCCTAGAACACAATACAGAAATAAGAAAAACTTGTGTGCCTGGCTGATATGTTTGTACCTGATTTTTGTAAAAATGTTTCACTTGTTCCTTCCCTTGCTGTAAAAATTGTTTATCTTTCTTTTCAAAGAAAGATGATGACTAAGAATGGAAGAACAGTGGGGAAACTGGGAGATGAGATAAACGCCCATACATCTGATCTCATTAATAACTCCCAAAGCTTGGGAAGCAAATCAAAGACATACTGATAATTCCTGTTGTGCTTCATTTACACTTAGTCTGTGTAACCCAGTATCTTCTCTCTGAGTGCTCAAAGGTGCTGGAGGAAAACATGACAAGTGAAAAATGATCTCTCCCTGACTTCCTTGACTTCAGTGGAGTAGGGACTTCTGAGCCATCATTTGCAACAAAAAAAAAATCTACTGTATTAGCAGTGGTTCCTTTGGGGGGGGGGGGGGGGAAGGAACAAAAATTGCCCTATGCTTTCAGATCAGACACTGGAAATCGCAGTATATGTCTCTTTAGCTGGGGATAGATTTTAAATTGTCGTGTTTAATCAGCCCTGGGAGAGATTTTTGGCCCAACTCCAGTTAATTGAAAAAGACTTTGCTTCCTCAAGACAGAAGGTCAGCCTTAAGATATTGTGGTCTGAGCTCATGTCATAATGTTTAGAGAGCAGAAATTAGATTAGTGTTTCTGTAGGCTCTCCCACCATGGCTTTCACTGTCAAAAAGTTGGCCTCTGTTCCTCCTGGAAAAGATATTGTTCCTTCTAAGCTCAGGGAAAATCTTGATCCCTCCCAATGTACGTTTTGCTCATATGAACAGTAAGAAGAGCAACATGCTTGTCCCAGTTGCTTCAAGAAAACTTATTTTGTGGCTCACAGTAGCTTTATTGAGCTGCTAATGCCAGAAATCTTTTTTTTTTTTTCCCCAGAATTAATGGCTAGAGGATTTTAATATAAAGTAAACAAAACAGATCCTGTTTAAAGCCTTATTACAGTTTTTTTTTTTAAGTCCCCATCTGAATTTTTTTTTTTTGAATCAAAGTGCTCGTTTTGGACTTAGTGTTGGCTACTTAGCACATTCACCAAACTCTTCCTTGGTCTTGCTAGTCTTTGTTCAGAGAGTATTCCTGGATAGTTATCAGTGCATAATTAGTAAGAGCAGGGATTGAACTTGTTTGTTTCCTGAAGTAGGATGACTTTCCTGTGAACTTTGGAAAAGCTTCCCCCCCCCCCCCCGCACCTTGTTTTTTGAAACTGCTTGAATGAACTTGTTTTGCAATACGTCTGGATATCTCAGGCAATTCCTTAGGAAAAGGCTGCAGTTTGTGAGGGTTGGCATTTAATAATGTAGTTCAGTGGAAACAGTCCTAAAATTGTTTTGTTTTGCAGCTTCTAGCTTTATAACCCCATGGGTGAAACTGGATCAGAAATCAATCTCAGAATCTGCTTTTCAGAGACATAGTCCAAAATCTCTAAGAGATGTTTTTTCTCCTAAAATAGAAGTTACTGATAGGATATTCCAGAAGGCAACAACCTTTACTCTGAATTGACAGCTGACCAACGTCAACTTTTTTGGATGCCTTGTTCGTTCTGTGAATTCTTTTCCTATCTCATCTTGATATTTTCTGACTGATTGCTCAGCTTATTAATTTTTTTCCCCTCCAAACATAAAACCTAGAGAACTTTGCTGGAACTGTTTTTTTGTTGCTTTTTTTTTTTCCATTGTGGGTTTCTTTCACCTTTCTGAGAAAGGTGGGAAATGATACCAGGTATCAGTAAGAGAATATTCCCGTTTCAGAGGAGGTGCTGCTTTCATGCTAGTGTGCGCGCAAAAGTGCGTTCGTCCTCTGTAGGAACAATTTTTAAAGGCAGTGTTTA